GTTCTATCATGTCCTCAGACCCTTGCACTGAATCACATGCCCAGTTGGCCTGTTAGTCACTTTGGATGTGTGTGATATTTTTCTCTGAAGTCTCTCCAAGTTCCTGACATCCTCAAGCTGAAGTAAATAAACAAAGAAATTGCAACACACACACACACACACACACACACACACACACACACACACAGAGGCACATCTCTCCTCTCCTCCCCCCTATATCACATCCTCGCCCCCATTCTCTTTAAGGGCTGACAGTGGATATACCATGTATGTTATTTGACATTCACTCTACTGTGAATACAAATATTAAAACAACAAGCACAGGGGCTGGGACACAATAGAGCAATTAAAGTGCAGGCCTAGCATGTACTCAACCTGGACTCTATCCCAAGGGTTTGATCCTCAACATCAAATGGTCCCCCAAGCATCATCAGGTGCAACCTTGGAGTCCCCCAGCACTGCTGGGTATGGCCTTGCGGCCTTTAGTACTGGCATGGTGGTCAGGGTATTCCTTTTACCACAGGCCTGAACTGCATCATGTCCTCAGACCCATATGCCCAGTTGGCTGAGAATTGCTGATGGGATGCCCGGGGCCTCTTGAGTGCATGCACACACACAAACAGCAAAATCATATTACTGCTAAACTTTACTTCTGGGTTATGATTGTGACAGGAAACTCAGACTCACTAACAATTTTGTAGCTGGGAAAGCTACCAATGTTTGGTACTGCTTTCTAGCCAAACAATAGACTGCTGTGCAATGAAGATTTCCCAGGAGAATAGGAGCAATTGCTTTCACTGAGGGCTGGTATCCCAGAACAAGCTTTTGTGGACTCACTCTGCACTTGTTTGCAGTGAGTCACTTACAGTGCCTGGTGGGTTGAGTCCAGCTAATGCTCCTCATGGAAAGTTTTACAAACACACAGTCACCCAAACAATACCCTGGAGCAGAGACTCCCGCGCCAACAGATGTTCCTCACAGGAGGAAGGGAGGGAAGTTAGTTTTCTTTGTTGATCCTATAAGAGAGAGGCAAGAATTCAACCCCTGGCACTGCATGGTCCCCTGAGCATCACCAGGAATGACCCCAAGCAACTCCAAAACCAGGAGCAACCCCCCCACACCACCCAATCATTACTCAGAACAGCCCTGGAAGGCCCCATGTATCACTAGGTGTGACCCTGGAGGCCCCAGAACCACCAGTGTAGCAGAGTAATCCTCAGCTCTGCCGACCCAAATGTTGAGCCAGAATTGCAGGTGAAACCCAAAGACCTCCTGAACAGGTTCCCTCCTCCCCCACCACTGCTGAAAAAAAAAAAAGACAAGAGATTTTCTAATTTAGTTCAGCTCTTTGAAGTATATAACTCAGGGGTCAGAATAGCAGTGCAATGGGCAAAACACACAGCCGACCTGGGTTTGAGTCCCTGTACCCCATATGATTCCCTGAGTTCAGTCAGGAGTGATCCCTGTGCCCTGAGCTCCTCTGGGTATAGCCCCAAAACCAAAATAAATCAATAAATTTTTGAAATTCACTTTTCTCTAATTGTGATGGTGCTAATGCCAGGAGAGAGCCCAGCCTCAACATTCATCCTCTCACTTACTCAACTCTGTCGCCAAGCATTGGGCTACCCACTTTAGAGAATTGTATCATCTCCTCACAAAAACTCTAGTTGAAGAAACTAGGACAGTGAGGTGAGATAACCAGTCCATAGTAGGCCAGCTAGTAAGTGACTGTGCTTGAATTCAAATCCGTATCTAACATCAGGGTAGAAGTAGATTAACTTGAATACAGATTTAACAAGATAAAATATAGGCCATTTATGAAGAGAAGCCCTGGCTACAATTTAAATATTAACAAAGAATCTACACCACAATTTAAATCTGTGATGATCAACCTTAAGAACAAGAGACTAGGGGCAGGGATGTGACACAACAGTAAAGCACATGCCTGACACAAATAAAACTTGGGTTCCAGCACCAATGAAAACAGAGAAAATGAGGAAGCTGGTGACAATAGGGCCATGTAGGGAAAGAACAATACAGGTAATCCCTTTTCAATCCTTAGGCCAATGCCTAAGGATCTTTCCCCTTTCTCCCTTCCTCCCTCTTTTTCTCCCCATCTCTCTTCTTCCCCAGTTCCTCAGCTATTTCTACACCACTCACTTTTCTGGAGGGGAGCCTCCTGAGAATTACTAGGGCTACACCAGCAGTGCCTGAAGAATATTTGGTGCTGGGGAATGAACCCAGGATCCTACAAAAAGCTCTCAGGAATGTGGATTACTGACTTCAGGATAACTACAGCAGGAGTTACACAGCCTCCCTACAATCAATAATCCACTCCCCAGAACCCAGAAAGGAAGAGTCCCTTCCATTTCTGCTGGCTTGGTAAATGGGCTACTCAGTGGCACTCAAGGCTTACTCCTGGCTCTGCACTCAAAGATCACTCCTAGCAGTGCTTGGGGAACCATATGTGATGCTAGGTATGAAGTCTGCATGCAAGGCCAGTACCTTACCCGTTGTATTATTGACCTGACCCAGAAGAATAATATTCTGTATGTTAAAAAAAAAAAAACCTATAATCAAGAAGAACTGAAATAGCTGCCGGAAAACTCACTCTTTCTGCTCAGAGCAAGAATACTGTTTTATGCCATAAATACAACCACAAATGGGAGCAGCTGGTACAAGACAGATAGCAGAGGGGCTAGGGGACTTGCTTGGCATCCCACTGATCTTGGTTCAAATCCCTGGCACCACAAATGGTCCTACAGCATCTTTGAAGTGACCCCAAGCCTGGAGATTGTAGTAATCCTTGAGCACCACAGGGTGTGGACTCAAAACAAAACAAACTGTGAACAGCTCTAGGAGTCCCATCCTGTTATTGAGAGCGAGTTCAACTCGGAAGCTCTTCTTGGTGGATCTCAGTGAAAACATTACAAATACCAGAAACCTCACACAGGTTTGAGTGCTAAGATAAAAATACAGGGCCACAAGACAAGCCTGGGTCAACTGGTGCTTTCATATTGTAAAGTACAGAGAAGATACATTCATGTATATTTTGTAAGAGCCACATATGTCCCCACTGCCTTTTCTGCTGAGGATTTACAAGAACTGCAGTGAGTGACTACAAAGGTCAGATAGTCCTATCATAACAGAAGGGTCCCACAGAGTTCCTTCTGATATAGGATCTGGTTTCCACATGTTCTGGTATAGGATCTTCTGATATAGGATCTGGTTTCCACATGTTCCCATCAGAAGAAAATAATGAGGGAATTACACTTAAGTGATTTATAACTATCCAAACATCAGAAGCCTATCTCAGCATGCAGAAAAACAGTTCTGTCATCCATGTCAGGGCTTATTTTTAAAAAAAAATGTTTTGTTATTGTTTTCTGGGCCACACCTGGCTGTGCTCAAGGCTTTCTCCTGGCTCAGCACCCTGGGATCACTCCTAATGGGTTCAGTGCATTATATGTGGTGCTGGGGATTGAACCTGGGTTGACTGTGTACAAGCCAAGTGCCCTACTTATTATACTATCTCTCCAGTCTTAGATTTTTTTTTCTTTTTGGGTCACACCCGGCGATGCACAGGGGTTACTCCTGGCTCTGCGCTCAGGAATTATCCCTGGCGGTGCTCAGGGGACCATATGGGATGCTGGGAATCGAACCCGGGTCGGCCGCGTGCAAGGCAAATGCCCTACCCACTGTGCTATTGTTCCAGCCCCAGACTCAGATTTTTTAAAAAAAAAATTTGATCCTTTTCACCTGAGAAATTTTTATGTGACTCTGGTCTATAAAATATGTGTATGAATCAAATACTGACAATAAATCATAAGGAAGATTATTTTAAAATAAATTTGGAATTGTGGGATGTTTTGGGCCACACTGGGCAATGCTCAAGAACTTCAAGGTTGGAGGGGTTGTAGAAAGACAGTACAGTGGACAGAGCTTTTGCCTTCCACAAGGTCAACCTAGGATCAGTTCCTGGCACCCAATATAGTCCTCCAAGCCCTGCCAGGAGTGACTCCTGAGCATAGAGTCAGAAGTAATCCTTGAGCACTGCCAAGGATGGCCCAAAACAAACAAAATACTAAAAAGGGACCAGAGCAATAGTACAGTGGGTGAGGTGCTTGCCTTGCACACCAGCAAATCCAGGTTTGATCCCCAGCACTACAAATGGTCCCCCAAACCATGCCAGGAGTAATCCCTGAGCCCAGAGCCAAGAGTAAGCTCTGGAACAGCTGGTATAGCCACAAAACAACAACACATAGCAACCACATTAACCTCTCTACTGCCTCTCCAGTCCCACAAAACAAAATTTTTAACAGTCTAAGAAGCTTGGCTTTAAAGTCACTTAAACCCCGCAGCATGGGACTTTCAGAGAGTATTCCCTGGTCGCAGCAGGGGTGAGCACTACTGTCAGATCACAAACTGAGTGGTGTAAGGCTTGCTGGCTATTTTGAGAATTATAAGCATAACCTTCCAGAGTGCTCAAACCTGGACAATGATATAAACTGGGCAAGCCTACTGCCTCAGAAGCCTGTGAGAGAACTACACAGAAAGAAGGGTGGCCAGTGGTCTCAGCTGTCTTGGTTGATTCTCTTAATCTTCAGAACAACAGAATTAGCTCCTACAGACTTGTAGTCATGCAGAGCACCAAGAGCACAAGCTGATACTTAAAGAAATTCCTCAGCCCTGCTGCACCCACCATCAGATCAATTTTGAGGTGAGTCACTCACCTACTGTAGGAACAGAACTAATTTACACATACCTGGATCAAGTTTAAATGAACATGAACCATGGCCTGAGAAAGCACTCTTATCCCCTTTCCTTTATTCTTTCTATGACTGATGCCTCTCCTACTTACACTTCTCAGCTAAAAACATCATCAGTTCCTGATCAAGTGATACTAAGTAAGAAACATTCAAGGCCCAAATTCCATGTTAATTTCTCAGTAATTACTCACTTATGGAAAAGTGAGGAGAAAGGAAGAAACATGACCTTACCACATCCTGAGATGCATAGTGAGGGTCCTCTGGGTCGACAGACCAGTAGCAGTAATCAAAGCCGAATGCCACAATCTTCTCACGAGAGTCACCAAAGCTATCTGGCCGATTGTCCACCTAAAATTAAATATGATTTCTGGTAGCTTCTCATTTGCAATATCTCCCCTACCCAGAAATAAACAACAATAGAAAATAAAGTATCTAACCAAGCACTTGATTCTCTCTGCAGCAGTTAGAGAAACCTGGACAGATTATGAGACAATTTTTTTTGGGGGGGTGGTCTTTTGGTGGTTTTGTTTGTTTGTTTTTAGTTTGGGACCTAAATCTGGCAGTGCTCCTTGGCTACTTCTGGCTTTGTGCTCAGAGGTGTTCAGGGACTATGAGGTACCAAGGATCAAATACAGGCTTCCCACATGCACTCTCCCTATTGAGCCATCTCTCTGGCCATTATGAGAATATATATACTTGAAAAAGTAAAAGAAAAAATGCTTTTGCCCTTGTCTCATCAGATATAAATATAGAACCAGACAAATTTACCTATCATGTTATATCTGCTTGCATATGAATCAACCATAGGAAGCTTAGAAAGAAATGTCCTCCTCTCTGGGCAATTTCTTACCACTATCATTTAAGTGGTCCTGTTCTGTATAGGACTATATCAGTAGTTTGGATCCTGGACCTGACACAATATTAACCCAGGATTTTCACAGAGAGGGACACTCTATGAATTAGAAAGCCCATCAGATGGAAGAATTGGGATCAATACAACTGCTCAAGGTATGAGGGGAGAGCCAAAATTTAAAACTTCTCTGACATCCAAGTACTGGGAATAATATTATTCATAGAAATACTTTGGGACCAGAGTATTAGTACAACTGGTAGTGAACTTGCCTGCATGCAGTCAAGCTGGTTCAATCCCCAGTACCCCATATGTCTCCTGAGTCTGCCAGGAGTGATCCCTGAATACCACTGGGAAGTGGTTCCAAAACAAAACAGAAAAAAAAAAAAACCACCAACCTTTGTCTTATAATTTATAATTTAGGCTGGACCGGGAGAAAAAAGTTTTTCACTAGCAATTATATACAGCAGTGGATTGAGACTATCAGAATGACAAGGAGATTCTCAGTGGATAACTGACCTCAGGGAAGTAAGCAGTCCAGGACAGATGCAGGGGGCAGATAAGAGTTTGATCTTGGCTGGCAGAGAATCTTAAACACCAAAAACATGAGCAACTGCCATGATTAAGAAACGATAGAGAATAGGTCTTTTGTCCCCAGAGAGTTCCTGCAGAATGTTTGGCATCCCCATGTAGGCAGAGAGCTGATAAAAGGAAACAGATCATATCACAGAAGTAGCATAGGGGCAGGCATGAATGGGAAACTGGGCTCCACATCACCCTGATGCAGCTTCCTCAGGCTCTCAGGAATGTGGATTACTGACTTCAGGATAACTACAGCAGGAGTTACACAGCCTCCCTACAATCAATAATCCACTCCCCAGAACCCAGAAAGGAAGAGTCCCTTCCATTTCTGCTGGCTTGGTGAATGGGAGAATGAAATTGAAGAAATTAGCCCTAGGTAGGGGCAAGGGTGGGGGGAGGAAGGAACTTCCCTACTTATCTAACTGTAACTCAAAGTTCAGTCTGATCTGTAAAGATGATTTGTAGCAAGATGGGCTAGTGACTAACTCCCTTCTGGGATCTAAAATCTCTTGGTTATCACTATAGACAAAATGAACTTTGCACTAGCACATGCATGCTAAAATTCCTAGTGATACTTCTAGATCAGCATTTTTCAATGTTCAAAGGGGGGCTCTACCACCCCCCTTCCACTCCCCAGGAGACCCTGGAATGATGGTCGGGTGGGGTGGAAACTGCAGTAGTAGCTTTGGGTACAAGTGGGTAGCACTTTCCCTTTGTTCACTGAAAGAAGGTAAACTTTTAGGGGGCACTGAGTGATTTTTTTTTCTGAGAACAGTATTGGTAGGTCAAATAAAGTTTGGGAACTTCTGTTCTAGATGAATTAATGTCAAATAAATGTCTAACTGGCAGTCATGGTCTATTAGACTCTACTGGATATATGAATTGTAACCAGTATCACTGAAACTCAATATGCCCCCCAACGTTTCCTTGTGTTTATTTTTAAAGCAAATATTGACCAGTTTCCAAAAAAAGTTGTTTAATAACATGTGAGCTGCAGCAGCCACTTCCCCCAAACACTATTTTGTATATGTGTGTGGTGCTAGGAATCAAACCTATTCAAGGCATGCGCTCTATCACTGAGTCACATCGTCAGTCCCTTGTCCCTCCCCTCAAATTCTTTCCTGCTTTAGTCCATAACTCCTTTTTCTTTTTTTCGGTTTTTGGACCACACCCAGTGATGTCCAGGGCTTACTCCTGGCTCCATGACTCAGGAATCAGTCCTGATGGTGTTCGAGGGACCATTTGGGATGCAAGGGTGGGTCACTTGCCCTGCCCTGCATGTACTATTGCTCCAGCCCCTATTTCAGAACTTTTTTTTTCTTTTAGAGTCACACCCTACAATGCACAGGGGTTACCCCTGGCTCAGGAATTACTCCTGGTGGTGCTTGGGGGACCATATGTGATGCTGGGAATCAAACCCGGGTCGGCCGTGTGCAAGGCAAAAACCCTACCCACTGAGCTATCGCTCCAGCCCCTCATAATTCTTGTGGCTAGTCAAAGTTCCTCCAAGGTCAGAGATTGTTCAATAGGCTCCAGTGCATGCCTTGTATGCTGGAGGCCGGGCTATGAGCCCCAGCAAGGTATGGTCTCCCAAGCAATGCCAGGAACAACCCCTGAGCACAGAGTAGGAAGTAGCTCCCAAACACCACCAGGTATGTCTCCCCCCAAACAAAAAGCTTTTCCCACAATTCCCATAATATGCCTTTTTCCTCCCCATTCTCTTATTTTAAACACATTCACATGCAAGCTTTCATCTCAGAAGATCACATAATATTTTTGTACATTTATACACTGTCTATAATATACAACCCAAACAATAATAATAATCTCTCCAATAAAAAGAAAAAGGAAAAAATATTACCTTCAAGTTCCTGATTTTAGCCATTTTGCCATCAACTTCCACAATAATTCTTCCTCCTTCTTTGGTTTCCCTAGAAATAAGACCCAGACCAGCATGAGAATAATGAATGTTTGTTTTCCTTAACCAAAAAAGAGAGAGAAGCTGGAGCCAGGATGTGGTGGAGCTCATGCCTTACACGAGCGAAGGCCTGGGTTTCACCCCCTATCCTGCATGGTTCCCCAAGCACCTGGGTGTGACTCCTATATACAAGTATTTTATTTTTTATGAGAAACTAAAACCATCATGATTGTGATGAAGTGTTTCCATACTGCTGTCTCCGCAACTGGGATGTCTGTCTTCATGTCTGCAGGCATCACATCAAGAAGTTTCCTGGCTGTCAAACTTCTCTAGATGGTTAAATTGGGCTCTGAAATGGCTGGCTGTCAGCAGCCTTTATGTGCTGAGCATTAAATTAGGTACAGTAGTGTGCTTCACTTTATACAATCCTGATACAACCTCCTAGCTTCCTAATGTGTCTTATTTTTACAGATAGGAGACTAAAGCTAAGATAAATGATGCACCTTGTCTAAAGTCCTGGCAAGCTACTGAGAATAGAGAGTATCTCGCCCCCACAGCAAAGGCTGGCAAGCTACTCATGACGTATTCGATATGCCAAACACAGTAATAACGAGTCTCAAAATGGAGACATTACTGGGCCCGCTCGAGTAAATTGATGAACAACAGGAGGACAGTGTCTAAAGTCACAGAGCCAGCAATGGCATGGCAGAGCTGGGGTTTAAACCCAGATTTGTGGGATCACAAGGCCGGGGCTATTAATTCCATTTTAGAAATCAGCCTCAAGAACACTGGAGTATACTGTTGCCTTTCAGCACATAATCCTGTATCACCTCTCATTCCCACTGGGATCTTAAGCAAAGATAGTAATGAAAAATCTTCTGCAGTTCTACAGTAGTTCTATACATTACCTTACACTTATTAGCACTTCCTCCTAATTATGATAAAGTTATCAATTATTGCCAGCCTGGGATCAGGAAATTGAGAAAACGCAGTCTCTCTCTCTCTCTCTCTCTCTCTCTCTCTCTCTCTCTCTCTCTCTCTCTCTCTCTCTCTTTTCTTTTTTTGGGTCACACCCAGCGATGCACAGGAGTTACTTCTGGCACATTCACTCAGAAATTACTTCTTGCAGTGCTCAGGGGACCTATGGGATGCTGGGAATCGAACCCAGACTGGCCGCGTGCAAGGCAAATTCCCTACTCGTACTCGCTGTGCCATTACTTCAGCCCCCACAGTCTCATTTTTCATCCTTCCTCAGAGTTCCTAGGAGGTAACCTTTAGAATTGTAGGGGGTGTCTAGGAGAAAAGATGGAGGGTACACAGTGAAATGGGATCTTTAGAGTCAATGTGTGTGTGTGTGTGTGTGTGTGTGTGTGTGTGTGTGTGTGTGGTGCCAGGGATCAAACAGAACCTCACAGATGAAAAGGAAATTCTCTACTGCTGAGTAACAGCATTGGTCCAGAATCTTTTTATTTACTTATTTTTGATTTTGGAGTAACACCCAGAGATGCTAGAGTTAGGTCTCTCCTGGCAGTGCTATGTGAACCATGTGGTCGGGGAGTAGATTCAGTCCTCCAGCATGCAAAAGTATGCACATTAGCCCACTGAGCTATCCTCTGATCCCAGAGCTAATATTTTCTTAAGCCTGTCAGTGAGTGGGATAAAGTCTTGAATTAAAAAAAAAAATGTCCCTTGAGCTGGAGTGATAGTACAGCAGGCAGGGTGCTTTCCTTGCATGCAAACAACCTGGGTTTGATCCCCAGCAGGAGTAATTCCTGAATGCAGAGCCAGAAGTAACCCCTGAGCACTGCAGGGTGTGGGCCCAAAAAACAACAACAACAAAAGAAATGGGGGAAAAATGCCCCTCTCTCAGATATTATTTCTGTTAAATTGGCTTAAGGTTCTTGTGTTCTTCCTTGCACATTATACTAAATGAAACACGTTATTAGTACACCAGCATCATAAAACTCTGTCCCAGCCCTTGGTTTTTCTGAAGATAATCTTCCACCCTTATTATTATTCTGCTGTAAGATAAAGTTTTGCCATTTGAAGCAACACAGATATAACTTAAGGGGGCATGTTCAGTGAACTAAGTCAGAAGAAGAAAGATGAATATCAAATACCCACCCACATGAGGGATTTAGAGAAGCAAAATACATGGGAACAGATAAAACCCACAGAAACTGAACCAGAGAGATAGTAGAGCAGGTAGGGTGTTTGCCTTGCATGCAGCCAACCCAGGTTCAATCCCCAGCATCCCATATGGTCCCCCAAGCATCACCAAGAGTGATCCCTGAATACAGAGTCAGGAGTAACTCCTGAGCATCACCAGGTGTGCCCAAAACCAGACTAAATAAGTAAAACCCAGGGAAACAAACCCACAAACTCAGGTTACTGAGTGGGGTTTACCAAGCTGAGGAGGGAGGGAAGAGCAGATGGTGCAGAGAGCCTGGTGTATTGTGGTGGAAGGATACTGCCACTTGGGTAGTGGTCAGTGGGGTAGTGGCCAGTGTGTTAATGCAGAAGTTGAAGAAGCATGAAAGTGTACTCCTGAAACACACAGCTATGAAAACAATGTTACCCCAATTTTAAATGAAAAATCTTCCATTTTTGATGTTAACATTTTTTATCAGGTAAGTTTTACTCCTTTGGGGAGGGAGGAACAATCTAGTGGAGGTTATGGTGTATAGACTGCATGCATGAAACTCTATCATTAACACTATTGTAAATCACAGTACCTAAAATAAAAATCTCTTAAATTGAAAATAATTTTTTTCTTCCTGCATTTTAAGGCTAGTTTTAGGGACCAGAGAGAGTCCTGTGGGTAAATACTTCCTTGCATGTAGTGACCCAAGCTGATCACTGTATACCCTGAGCACAGGAGTGAACCCTGAGCACAGCCAGGTGTGACCCCAAAAGCAAAAAAAAGTTAAAATAAAACTAATTTTATTATCCCCACACCCACTAGAAAAGTAATATGCAGGGGGCAGAGAGAGAGAGTACAGCAGGTGCTTGCCTTGCCTTGCACATGGCCTACCAAGGTTCTACCACCCCAACCCTCCCAGAAACACACACACACACACACACACACACACACACACACACACACACACACACCATGTGATCCCAAGAGACCCACCAAGAATGATCCCTGATAGCAGTGCCAGGAGTAAGCCCTGAGAACAGCTGGGTGTGGCCCCCAAACAAAAATAAGATGTGTCCTTTTGTGTGGTTTCTGAGAGGACTCTCTGAAGTGAAGCAGAGTGTCTTGAATGTGACCTCTTTGCAGAAAGCTGACATTGTAAGGGGTGAGGAGTTGCTTGACCCTGCCTGGGCCAGTGCTCTGGTAATCCAGCACTTCCGAAGTACTCTAGAACTGACAAAAGGCCCTCAAAATATGGCTGAATCAAAGTTGAGAGAGGGGCCATTCTCAACAAAAAGAGAGAGGGTCCATTCTCAACTAGAACAGGGCTTCTTTTTCACTTGGGATCTCTTGGACCTCAGAAATTTTTACACAACCCTGGGGAAGATGGGTATGCAAAATAGTATATAAACTAAATATTTGCTGATCACAAATCAAAAATAAATTTATTTTAAAACAAATTTCAAATATTTCGTATGACCCTCACAGTTCCACAACCCTTGTGGGGGTCACAAGGCACAGTTAAAGAAACTGCAATTAGAGTCTCTTGAAACTCAGGTAAATCCAGTATGGAGCATGACACAGGACAGAGCATCTCAGTTACCTCTGGTCTCTGGGTTCTGAACTTCATCAATCCACAATCATGACTTAGGTTAAAGGTTCTTTGTATAAACAGGCTGAGCACATGTTTTGCATATCAACAAGCAGGGTAGGAGTGAAGCTTGGACAGAGAACTGAGAATGAGCCCCCAGCACCATCATTTGTAACCCCCAAACAAGTAAAAACAAGTTTTTCCCCCACAATATCAAAACCTCTGTTGGTTGCAACTGGAAGTGGTAGTGAAGAGGGAATCTGACCAGGTAACTGCTTCCCTTTTTATTTTGGTGGAAGACCATACTTGGCTGTGCTTAGATGCTACTCCTGTCACAGTGCTCAGGGATCACTCCAGTGGTGTTTAGAGAACCAAAATCGTGTTCTGCAAGTGTTGTATGCTTCTCAAAGTGGTTTGAGTCCGCATGAATCAGAATTACAGGAGCCAGTCCAGAGTTCTTCAACCTTTTCATACTTGTGAACTGATACCTGTCTTGCATACTGGAAAGGCAATTATGCCCAAGGTGGAAAAGCAGTGGTTTTCAATCTTTTTATACTGCTGGCGTGGTAACTGAAGATCAACAGGGTCATCCATTTGAAAACCTAGTAATAATTTCCAGTGTAACAAGCTCCCAAGTAGAATGTATACTATAATTTGAGAACCACTATCATAAGGGGATAGTTTTGTTTATTGTGTACACCTGAAAATGCTCAGAGACCACTCCTGGCAATGTTCTGAAGATCATACATAGTGTCAGGGACTGAACCTGGGACAGTCATGTACAAAATAAGTGCCTTTATCCCTGTACTTTCCATGTTCTGAGTAATTTTTTTAGAACATGCCACAGCACTAGACACAGAGACAGGAAGTAGGAGGGGGAGGGGAAACCAGGGACAAAGGTGGAAGGAAGTGGACACTGCTGAAGGAACTGGTGCCAGAACACTATATATCTGAAACACAGTCATGAATAATTTTGTAATTCAAAATGACTCAATAAATTTTTTGGCTTTGGGGTCTTTGGGTTATACCCAGCAATGCCCAGGGGTTACTCTGGTCTCTGCACTCAGGAATTAGTCCTTGCAGTGCTCGGGGTACCATATGAGATGCTAGGGATCAAACCTTGGTCAGCCACATGCAAGACAGACACCATACCTGCTGTACTACCACTTCGGTCCCAGTAAAATATTTTTTTAATTTTAAATTTAAGATAGCATAGTTTTCTAAGTGTCTTGAAAACCTATTATTTCAGTTAATCTTCATAAAAACTATTCAAACAGTTTCTTTTTTTTTTTTTACAGATTTATTTTTAAGGTAAAAATATATGTAGGGTAGGGGCCAGTGAATATTAGCGAGCAAGGTTTGCCTTGCTTATGGCTAACTTGGGTTTAATCCCTGGCACTCCATATGGTCCCCTGAGCCCTCCATATGATCCCTCAGAGCAGAGCCAGGAGTAGCCCCAAGCATAGAGAGATGTGGCCCCAAAAGATATATATTGCATATAAAGTATCTTCTGACAATAAAGAGTTTTCCAGAATCTACAGTACTGGCAGAACAGAACACGTTCTCTCAATCAATGAGTCTGCATAGTCAAGGAGCATCTTATAAGATTAAAAACTTTCTGGTTATAGAAAGCAAATTGTTCAGGGCCAGAGCAATAGTACAGCAAGTAGGGCGTTTGTCTTACACATAGCCAACCAGGACCAATCCCAGGCATCCCAAATGGTCCCCCGAGCTTTCCTGGAGTAATTCCTGAGTGCAGAGCCAGAAGTAATCCCTGAACAGTGCTGGGTGTGGTCCCAAAACAAACAAGAGAGAAAATTGTGAAGCAGACAGGAGTATGTCAAAAGCATTTCCTATATTATCATTTTACTGAAGCTCAGTTCTTATCCTGCTAAGGAGCAGCTTGGGTTGGTAAATCAAAATTTGGCTTTATTTTTTAAAACTTAAAGGCAATTTTAATCGTCTGGAAAAACAACAACAACAAAAAAGAGGAAGCTTAGACCAGATGATCTCAAAAAGTTCTTCCCAAGTACAACAGATCCAGTGACTTTGTTAACTGAGTTTGTGCCAATGACTTATTGAACCTTGGAATGAACCACAAAATCAGCAGAATCTCGAGTTCTGGATGAGCCTCAGGGAAGATAGTGGAAGTTTAGAGATAAAGGAATATGCAGGATTCACTAACAGGGCAGAATTGATATTGACCTCTCCACTGAGCATATTCTGGTTTTATCTATTATCCACACATCTCCCAAATGTATGTGCTGAATTTTCAGCCTGCTATAATCTACTCACACCTGGATATCTGAGGCTTAACATCCTATCACTTGCTGCTCAGGAAATTAACTTCAGCTAAAAGTAAGTTTTATGTTCTTTTCTCATCACTTTTGTTTGATGAGGTGTCATTCTGTACTATAGTTTAAGTACAAGGCCCTCCCGTTGATCATCGATTTGCTCGAGCGGGCCCAGTAACGTCTCCGTTGGAGACTTTGTTGTTACTGTGTTTGGCATATTGAATCCGTCACGGGGAGCTTGCCAGGCTCTGCTGTGCGGGCGAGATACTCTCGGTAGCTTGCGGGGCTCTCCCAGAGGGGCGGAGGAATCGAACTCGGGTTGGCCATGTTGGCTGCGTGCAAGGCAAACGCCCTACCGCTGTGCTATCGCTCCAGCCCTAAATAATTATTTCAACAGCACTCTACTTACTTTATACTATTATAAATGACAGAATTGAAAGATTACTGTCAGTAATCAATTTTTGTTATCCTGGGCACTCTCAAGGGGAGTTCTTCTGAGGGCAGGCATTAAGGCGCTCACCTTGATGCAGATGACCCTAGGTCAATACCTAGTACATAAAATGTGGTTCTCCCCTGCTCATTCCAGAGCCAAAAGTAACTCCTGAGCACCACAGGAAGTAACCCCACACACATGCGCACACACACAAATAAGAAATTTTTGCCAAAATAAGTTCTCCTAAAGGCTACCTCAATAAGCTAGTAGAGTAGTTGGACCATGATACCTCCAACCCTTGAGCCATACATCCAGCTATGAGAGAGGGTACAAATAATAAATAAGACATTTACCAGTACAAGTCATATACAGAGACAGAGGTTCAGGCTTCTGCTATTTCCTTCTTTCTTCACGCTACCTTTTTTGGGGGTTTGGAGGGCAGAGGGGAGACAGAGCGGTGCCCAGGGCTTACTCCCGGCTCTGCTCTCAGGGATCATTCCTTGTGGTGCTCAGGGGACCATACAGGGCTCCAGGGGTTGAACCTAAGTCAGTGGCATGCAAGGCAAGCACTTAACCGCTGGGCTATCACTCTGGCCCCCTTCCTGTATCTCTTTTTGCTTCTCTACTTTCCTGTTTTTCTTTTTTCCTTTGCCATCTAAATGTTCTCATTCTGTCAAGTGCTTATCTTTTCAAAGCCTCCATATCAAGACATAATTCCTGCTAGTATCAAATTTTGTCATGGGGGAACTAAAGCTTTTTTTTCCTATTTTTAAAAGAAGGGGCAAGGAATTAAAACTAGAGTCTCAAAAGTAGAAGGCATGCACTCTACAATCAAGCAACATCCAAGCCACACCCCCTCTCTGCCCAATTTGCTTTTTTTTTTTTTGGTCTTTCTGGATCACATTGATGATGCTTAGGTGCTCAGGCTTTACACCTGCCTCTGCACTCAGAAATTACTCCTAGCAGTGCTCAGGGGACCATATGGAATGTCAGGGATGGAACCTGGGTCGGCTGTGAGCAAGGCACTCTACCCACTGTCATATCACACCAGCCCCCGTCTCCCTTTTTTTCTTCTTTTCTTTGGTTTTGGGCCACAACCAGTTGTGCTCCAGGCTTACTCCTGGCTCTGTGCTCAGAGAGGACTCCTGCCAAAGCTAGCGTGAGAAGTGCATATGGGATGCTGGGGATAGAACCCAGATTGCTTGTGTGCAAGGCAAGCATCCTACCCGCTGTAGCCCAATTTTCAAGCCAGCTTTTTATCCAAGAAAATGGAAAACCTCCCCCCACGTTTTCTGCCCCTTTCATACACACCAATTCCAATATATGCCTTCAGGTCCTAAGTATGCACCACCAGGTTTACTTCCATAACTCATTTCCCTGTACGTAATCCTCTCCCCAAACAATCCAAACTATTGTTTCCTAACAACCCAAGTCTCATGCTTTCCGGAGTTCTTACCACATAGTGTGCATTTTACACTTTCCCAACCGGTCACCAAACTCGAAAAGATCTTTAAAAACAATCAACAACAAAAACCAGGAAAATAAAATCACCTACGAAGCTTCCCTTCCCTTCCTGGCCAAACCGAGGCAGGGAACTGGAAGGAACAGAGGCGGGGAAAACCGGGTATGCATCCTGGATGCCCGGAGCACAGAGAGGTGTGGATCTCCTAGTCCTGGCACCCCTGGGGATTGACGCCCTTGGCTTCACACACGTGCTGTTGGACCGAGGATGCTACCATCACTCTCTGCGCCTCAGTTTACCTTGCAATCTGTCTTTCTCCCATTGCCACGGAGAAACTCTGGCGCGCACACACAGTCCTGTGCCTCGGTCCTTACATACGCTCTCCTGCGCCACCAAAGATACTGTCACCCTCTCCTGGCTGAAAGCGACTTTCCCGGCTCTTACTTCACTTCCCCAAAGAAAAAGCCCCACCCCGTGCAAGTAGACGTGAATCGCGATCCTTAAGATCCCGAGAGCAGGACGCCCGGGGCCGTGTAGGGGCTGCTCTCCCCGTGGGGGGTCGACGCCAACCTAGCACCAAAAGCCTCGCCCAGCTTCCGGGTGGGACTTGGGAACCGGACCGGGACTCGGACCCCAGGGTAACTTTGTTTCCGATTTCTCCACTCCAGAATCACTTTAGAGGCTAAGGCGGGGGACCTCACCCTGCTCTCAGCCTATCTGACGCTGCAAGCGCCCCCTCCCACCCAGACTCACCTCTTGCTGAGGGGCCGGACCCTCAGGGCCACCCGCACGTTTGCCATGCCCCGTCCTTGGCCCAAACCCGGCAGCTCGACCCAGCCACAGCATCCCGAGCTTGTAGGAGCCACCGAGCCCCAGCCCCAGCCGCAGCCCGGCCCCGCCCGCCCCACGCGCCTCGGGACTGCGCTCTCCAGGGAGGCCGGCCCGAGGCGGTGTCAGCTGAGGCCAAGGCCAATCCTGAGCCAGGAAGGACGAGGATGCTCCGCCCCACTCCGCCCACTAGACTCCGAGAACGACCCCGCCCCTGCACGCGCCGGCGCCAGACGGGGGCGGGACCTCTAGAGCGTCCGCCAATCCTGAGCTCGGTAGGCGGGCGCGCTCGGAGGCCTAGGTGGCGCCGATTGGCCAGCCCCTCCGCCTAGTAGGAAGCTGGCTTTTATTCTCAGGCAGACTCCTAAACAGTGTAAGTAAATCCGTTACATCTTGGTTACAAAGTGATCAAAGAAATAATTTTACTCCCTTCACTGGCCTGAGTTTATGTTGTTGTTTTTTTTTAAAGTAACCGATATTTTTATTTTTCAAAAGGAGCCGGAGAGGGGCTGGAGTGATAGCACAGCAGGTAGGGCGTTTGCCTTGCACGCGGCCGACGTGAGTTCGATTCCCAGCATCCCATATGGTCCCCTGAGCACCGCCAGGAGTAATTCCTGAGTGCAGAGCCAGGAATAACCCCTGTGCCTTGCTGGGTGTGACCCAAAAAGCAAAAAGAGCCGGAGAGATATTACAGAAGGAAAGCCGTTTGCCTTCCATGCAGTCGACCAGGTCCATCCTTGACATCCCATGTGATCCCCCAAGCTCCGCCAGGAATAATTCCTGAGTGCAGTGCTAGGAATAATCCCTGAGCACCTCTGAGTGTCCCCTCCCCCCAAAAAAATAGTTTTAAATTTAAAACGTCTACATAGGTATGCCTACTTAGAAATAAAACAGGACATAGAGAAAAGAGAGTTAAAGGGAACGGGGGTATGGTGCTGACAGCAGGCCAATCTGAACCTGTGAGGCAAGTGCATGGGCAGACTGATGGCGCCTTCAGACTTCCAGATACCCCAAAATTGCTGCTGTGTCTTTGGCCAGATCCCAAAAACTTGGGGCAAAGTTTACCAAGAAAGTAAACGGCCAAAAGTTAGGTATGTGGGAGACACACTCACAAACCACCTCTGGCTGCTCAGCTATATAATTGAAGGCAAAGCCTCTCTGGTTCCTGATCAAACTGCTTAACGGCCATGATCCCAGAGACTCAGAGACAAATCTCGGAACCCAGTGGCTTTTGGCAGAGATGTGTCCAGTCCCCTCAAGGGGTTACTGGTGCCGGAAACCCGGGGGGAAAGGGTGTTGTCCCTCCACCTGCTCCCCCTTGGCGGTTCGGTGGCCACCATCTTCCAGAGGCCATTGGACAGTCAGGCTTGGGCCCACAGTGACGAGACACGAGGGGCCTCATGGGATGGGGGTGGAGTTGGCCCTTTCCTCCCCACCCCAACAATACCCTGAGTCGCTGCCCACAAACGGCCTCTCTGGCTCCTGATCAAGCTGCTTAATGGCCATGATCCCAGAGACTCAGAAGCAAATCTCGAAACTCAGTGGCTTTTGGCAGAAATGCATTCGGTCTCTGCAGTAGGTTACAGGCTCCGGGCCACCCCAGGTGGGAATAGGTTTCGTGCTTTGACCTGTTCCCCCTGCGGCTCGGTGGCTGCCATCCTCTAGAGGCCACTGGACGGTCAGGTTTGGGCCTTGAAGTGACAAGACACACGGGGCCTCAAGAGATGGGGGTGAAGCCGGCCCTTTCCTCCCCGCCCCAACAAGATCCCAAATCGCTGCCCACAAACGGCCTCTCTGGCTCCTATCAAGCTGCTTAATGGCAATGAGCCAAGAGACTCAGGAACAAATCTCAAAACCCAGCAGGTTTTGGCAGAAATCCCTCCAGATCTAATTGTTAAAATTTTGGAATTCCAAAATCACATGGCCACTGCTGTGGCCACAGGACATCTTATGTTATTCATAACCAGCAATAGAAAACAAATTGTCTACTGTTGCCTTTTCAGCAGATCTGAATGTTGGGGTAAAATCCCAAATAATAATGGTGGGTCTGGTGTAGAAATTTTGAATGTAATCAAATTAGAGAGAGAGCAATGTGGAAATCATCTGCCCCACAGGTAGGGGGACAGTGTGGGATGGGGGGTATACTGGGGTTTTGGTGGTGGAAAATGGGCACTGGTGTACGGGTGTTTCATTGTATGACCGAGACTTAAACCTGAAAGCTTTGTAACTGCTCTCATGGTGATTCAATAAATAAATTATTTAAAAAGGGGAAAAAAGGAGAACTAAAGGGAAAATACAGACTGAAAGACATTTGGCTTCGATTAATCCTAAACTCCTTGCTAATAAGCTCTGTGAACCTAAGTCACTTAATATTTTACATTGGAGCTTATGTTTTTGCAGTTCCTATGCAAAGTAGTGTGTCTTTCATTCGTCATTTGGAATATGGAGTTTAGAGTGGTCCCTTGTGAGCTTCTTTGTGCCGGAACTTCATGACACCATGAAGTTTGTGGTTGAGGCTGGAGTGCTATTGGCCAGAATTGGTTCATTAACTAATCCAGGAAATAACTTTTTTTTTTGGTCTTAGTTGCAGTTTATTCCAATCCTCTCTCCATTCATTCCTAACTCTCTCCTCTGCCTCCCCTCCTACTTCTTCCTCCCCCATGCTACTTCATTCTCCTTCTCAATCCCCCTTCATCCTCCTTCTCTGGAGTCTGGATTCTGGAAATAACTTTTGAGTACCTAGTGAAGTCTATAATTAGGGAGGTGATTCCCCCTTGGCAATGAGTTTGGGGATGTAATAAAAACCAAGACTTGCTATGCAACTGAGTTACTGTGTTGCCAGCACTTCTGCCAGTCTAAGAGCAAGAAGGCTGTGCCAGACTGGACCCCCTAAGGCCTCCTGAGACTCAGAATGAACCAGCCCAAACAGAAAGCCAAGCCTCTCAGGAGAGCAGAAACAAAGACCCTCATAAGAATTGAAGAGAGATCACAAAATTTCAGACTTTTTCTCTTGACAACTCTCTAGCAACCCTAGCAATGACTCTTATTTGCATCATTGCTCCCGAGCACTTTGCGGAAAGGTCTATAACTAGACTTGAGGATGAAAAGAGTATGGGGTTAAAGCACTTGTTTTGCAACTGGCAGACTGGGTTCCATCCCTTGTACCACATATGATCCCCCTGAGCACTGCAGAGCCAGGAGTAAACCCTGAGCACCAACAGGTGTGGCCCCCAAAACAAATAAAAAACAACCTTGACAAAGCAGGGCACAAACTCCACCTTGGGAGTCAGTCACCCAAAGCCCTCTACTCAGGGTTGATGTCCTTTGGGCCAAACCTGGCAGTGCTTGTAATACCATATTCTATGCCAAGTATCATATTGGGGTCAGCTGTATGCAAAATATGTGCCTTAAAAAAATATATGTGCCTTAACTCCTGTGCTTTCTTTGGCCCCTTCCTGTTTAGTTTTTTTTTTTATGTAGGAGTACTGCTATTTATTCAGCCATTGATTAAATTGATTGAATTGGGCATGACCTCCACATTAATTTTTTATTCAGAACGTTAATTTTATTTTATTGTTTTAAAATTATTATTATTATTATTATTATTATTATTTTAATCACTGTGAGATACAGTTACAAATTTTCCTGTTTGAGTTTCAGTCATACAATGATCAATCACCCGACCTTCCACCAGTGCACATCTTCCACCACCAAGAACCCCAATATCCCCCCTCCCCCCCTGCCTCTATGGCAGACAGTCCCCCCATACTCTCTTTTGTATTGCTTGTTATGAATAGCATAAGATGTCACGTGGCTGTGACAGCAGCCATGACAGAGGCCGTGTGCTCCTAAACTCCAAAATTTCAGATAATTAGGGCTGGAAAAATCTCTGCAGCAAGCTTCTCCATTCTGAGATTCTTTTGTGTCTCTGGATCATGGACATTAAGAGCTTAAGTAGCAGCAGGAAGCAGTTTGTGGATGTGACCTCCAGGGTCCCAGGGGAAGGAAGGGATGAGAGGGATCAGACCATCCCCTATCCCCTAAGGCCTGGAGTTTGCTGTCACTGAACCCGCATACCTACACTTGTCATTGGTTCTAAAAGTTGGCGGCCACTGGGGTTTTTAGAGGGCAGGTAGAGGGACAATGCTCACCCCTGTCTGGGGCACCCTGGTGGAGTAGGCCTGGCTTAAAGCCCGGAGGCATCTCTGCAGCAAGTTGTTTGGTTCAGAGATTCTTTTGTGTGTCTCTGGATCATAACCTTTGTTTCCATCTTTTCCAGAGAAATAAACTATTGGCATATGCCCTGTGGGGCATGCCCACTCGCCCTTAGTGCTCTGCATAGCTAGCCCTAACTGCAGCTATTTTTTTTTAATCCCTTTCAAGATATATGGGTCTCTGAAATTAGATCAATAAATGAGCTTGTTTAGCTGAGACAGAGAGGGTTTGAGGGTGTGGCTCCCACATACCTAACTTTTTTTAAAAATTTTTATTAGTGAGACACCATGAGGTACAGTTGTAGACTTAAAAAATTTTGTGCTTGGTTTCAATTATACAATGATCAAATACTCATCCCTCCCCCAGTGCCCATTTCCCACCACCATGGATCCCAGTATCCCTCCCACCCCCCAACCCCCCCATCCCACCCTGCCTCTATGGCAGGGCATTCCCTTTTGTTCTCTCTATCCTCTTCCACATACCTAACTTTTGGCTGTTTAATTTCTTGGTAAACTTGGCTCCAAGTTGTTGGGGTTCGGCCAAAGGCACAGTAGCAATTTGGGGGTATCAGGAAGCTTGAAGGCACCATCAGGCTGCTGATGCACTTGCCCCTCAGGTATAGGTTGACCTGCTGGCAGCACCATACTCCCCTCCTGTTTAGTTTTAAGCTTCTCTATTGTAGTCTTTAGCTATCATTTTATTAAGTCCATTTTTTAGTTTGAGTTTTTAGTAATTTTTATAAATTTCACATTGCTGTTTGGTGTTTTGGGGCACTCCCAGTGGTGCTTGGGGAACCATGCAGTGGGCAAG